CCCCGTGGAGCGGCTCGTGGGTTTGAACCTTTGGTTCGCAGATGAGCGCTTTAACCACTGCACCACCGGGGCTCATTACTTCTATACTTAATACATAAAAAAAAAAACCTACATTACTGCTCATGATTTAAAATGAAGTTTCACTAACAATACCATTAAATGTTAGATCAAATTGTTTTCCACACAAACTTTACACAGATTATATTTAAATATGATTAATCTGGTAATGTATGAGAAGCACGGAAAGTTTCAATATAACAAGCCAACACTAAACATCTATCATCTAACCAAAAAAATTTAGTTATACCAGTTGCCAGAAAAATACCCAAGTCCTTCTGACCAAACCAATTCAGGTACTTGAACAATCACAAAATGTGTAAGCACAATTAAAATTACTCGGATCAAATGAAAAAAAGAATTTGCTTTGATAATATTCCAATAAATGTAAAACAGAAAATTTTCAAAATAACAATTTAGCTAATAAAAACCGTAATAGCCTTTTAAAATATATTAACCTCTGCTTAAACCTAACCCACTGCCATCAAATCGATTCCGACTCCACAGCAACCCTATAGAACAGGGTAGAACTACTCCACAGGGTTTCCAAGACTGTAATTTTTATGTAAACAGACTGACACATCTTTCTCCTGAGGAACAGCGGGTGGGTTTGACCTGCTGACCTTCTGGTTAGCAGCTGAGCGCTTAACACTGCACTACCAGGGCTGCTTCTTATAAACCTAGGCAACTAGGTTCCTGGCAAGTACGGAATATAAGAACACCTGTATAGAAACGTCTCCAAATTCTACTAAAAAGCTCTGTAGAGAGTATATGAGGTCTTCAATAATGCACTATTTTCATATTTTAGGAAATTTAATTTTCTATTTACATATTTGAAAACTTGAAGCTGATCTCCTTTACTTGCCAATGTCACTACACTTGACAATACTGATTCTCATCTTCACCTTTGTGAGAAAGAATTTTAAAGTGATTAAATGTCACGTTATTTAAAAGGAATGACTAAGTTGTACAAATTCATGACTAATTAAATCTCCTGCCCTCTTAATAAATGGACAGATAGGCCTGGAAATCACCATTTGGAAGTTGAGTAAAACACTACTCTTGCTTATTAGTTTTTGGAAGAAATGTCTACACACAGTCATGATTTCAGTCACAAATTCCAAGTCTAAGGAAATAAAAATGTGATTTTTTTCTCATGGCTATATTTCCCCTATGTGAATACACTCCACAGGAAAATAGCTAACAAGCTGTTTCTAAAAATAAATAAATTGGCTTTAAGTAATCAAAAGACACTAAAAGAGTCTAAGCTTAAAATGTTTGTCAAAAGCTGTTGTGTGCCACTGAGTTGATTCAAATCACAGCAACCCTGTATGACAGAGTAGAACCGCCCCGTAGGGTTTCTTTCTTTCCTAGACTGTAGTCTTTATGGGAGCATACTGCCCAGTCTTTTTGGTTGGCAGCCGAGTCCTTAACCACTGAACCACCAGGGCTCCTTGTGTCAAAAGTAACCTCCCTTTATTTTTGAAAAAATTTAAAAATATACCACAAATCTGTAAGCTGCCCCCTCCCCCCAATTCCCAGCTCTGTCAACACCTAAAGGTACACGAATTTAGATATTTTTGCTGGTGTAACAAACATTCCTTCCTATCTCAAGTGAGTTTTTTATTTGGGGACAAAAAGGGGGGGGGGCACATCACTTTCTGGAAAATATTGACCTGGGGAAGGATTTTGTCTACTCATTCTTTAGAATATCTTAAAACAACAGGGGAACTACTTTTTGTTTCCCACAGCTCTCATTTAACAGTCTTCATTCAGAAGAGACCAGGTGTAACAGTTTCTTAATTTTTTCAGACATCATTAGGTCCCTGTCACCTTCCTCTTAAATCTTTTTTTGCTATTAATGGCACTAAGAGAATTTCAAAGAAATTCTATAGAGATGACTGGAAAAACACGGAATGAGCGCATCACTTCAAGTAAAATTCCATTTTATATTGTGGGGAACATCTACCTTTTTAAGTCTGGTAAAGAATAAAACCTCAAGAAAAGTAAGTCAGAAGAAGTATTGTACTAGGGTTACCTGCAAGAGAATGGGATCAGTATGAAGAGAAACATTATAAAATTTACTTTAAGAAACAAAGGAGAGCTCCTTATATGGTACTTCTCATACACTGGAGATATTTCCCAATGATCATCTAAACCCTCCAACACAACCTTCCTCGAACATACCCTATTTCTCTACTTCCTGGCATGTCATGTGAAGGGGTCAGGGACACACGGAGGGGAAAAAAAAAAAAAGCCTGCTGAAAACATGAAAACACTGTACAAGTGTTTCCCTTTGTCCACCTGTGTGGGTTCTCTAGGATCATCTCCAATGTGGCTATGCCACAATTTCCTCAGAAAAATTTTACTGACACCCTGTTATGCAAAAAGCCAGTAATATCCCCATTTGACATCTGCAGAGCCAATTCTAACCCCAGCAAAGCTACTTCCTAACACTTTAATAAAACCCCCAAGTTCAGTCCTTTTATCTTTATTATCCCACGCCTTTACTACCTTCCTATAACAGGTACCTAGTATCTATTACTGAATTTGAGACAGGAACTCCATTTGACTGTAAAAGTCTCAATTGCAGAACTACCGAGTCTGTTTTACACAATTGAACCCATCACACCCCACCCAAAATCACCAACACAACATTTTGAACATATTAAATTTTATTAAAAATATTTAACATTGTACAAATATTCCAATACAGTTATGGTACATGAACACTGTACCAAAAGCATAATTTTTATTAAACTGACGATTAAATGGAAAATGTCTTGCAGATGTCCCTATTTTAATATTTCTCACGTACTGTATGCATATCAGCAACATGTTTGCAAGGAACTTTCAGCCCAATTACAGAAACAGCCTCAGAACATAGTACTAAACATCATAACAAAATTCACATAAGTAGAATTGTACTTATATTACTGAACAGGCTAGAGAAGGCCCTTTTGCCCAACCATGAAATGTGAGAAATCAAGATAGGTGATGTTCATGGGATCCTGAGACAAAGTTACTACATAAAATGAAAGCCCTTATTAATATCTGAGCAATTTAAACTTTCCCCTATAATGTCTCTTTCTTTCCTGGTCCCATGAAATGTATTTTGTTGTCAGTGTATAAAGCCAACAAATTTGCACTGTATTTTCCTTAAGTTACGTGAATTTCTTAGAATTACTTGAGTGTTCCTACTGCAAGTCATTTATGGCAACCTTTGAAGTTCTATACTCTGATGTTTTCTATAATTGATACAAGCATAAAATGTGTCAGAAGAGAAGCAAGTACCTTGACACAACTCTACAATCACTGTAATTCTTCAAGTATAATTTCACTGTAGTGATGTGTAGCGAGTATACAGGAAACTCAGATAAAGCTTTACAGTCCTGACATTAGTTAATGCTTCTTTAGCCTCTAAGAGCTTCTTTCTAGACTGACAAGGGAAGTTTTTTTAAGAATACCAAGAAGGTTCTTCAGGCATGAAAACCTCTAATTACTTTTAATCAGTGTTTATGTCATATTTGCAATTTTTTTAAATATGGTATGGTCAGCAAATACCTAGTTATTAAATTTAACTTCCTCAATTTATACTTCACCACTACAGAATCCCCTAATGAGTACAAGAGATTTTAATGTCTAGCAATCATCTAAATATTGACTCTTAATTCTACCAATATCTACTACTAATCCTACCAGCTGTCTGGGTTTCAGACAAACAAAAGTTGTTGATAGGTTTCTGATTCTGCCATATTCAAGGTCCTAATACTAATAATTAAAGCATGTAATTGCCTCCTGACTCAAAGTCGTCATATCAAATGTATCTCTAAATTGAGTCCACTAGTGTTTATCAAATTGTTAAAATTTTAAGTTTCCTTTCACAATGTTAAGATTTCTTTGGAGGATTTTTTAAATAAATAACTTCTTCTAGTGTTTAAACCCTTCATTCTATCAACAGCTTCCTGCTTCACTAAAATTAGTGTCCAATAAATGTCTTTTCCAAACCCAAACCCATCGCCGTCAAGTCAATTCAGACTCACAGTGGTCCTACAGGACAGATTAGAACTGCCCCATAGGGTTTCCAAGGCTGTAACCTTTATGGAAGCAGACTGCCACATCTTTCTCCCACAGAGTGGCTGGTGAGTTCGAACCACCAACCTTTCGGTTAGCAGCCAAGCACTTAATCACATCACCACCAGGGCTCCTTAAATGTCTCTTAACATGTATTATATGCTAATCTACCTATAAAAATGTAGTAAACATGATATTAGAGGAATAGACATTACAGTAAAACAAAGCAAATTTATTCTCTCCTCAAACTAGTACTTCCTAAATTGTAAGGTTTATCACTTAAAATATACCCTGAATATTTTAGTATTTCAAACTTGGAGGCCTTTCCTGATAATCTGCTACCAATTTGAAAATAAAGAGTAGGGAATACTTATTATATGTTCCTACTGAGAACATTATTTTAATATTAAAGTCTTATTTTACTACAAGTATGACATTAATTGCTCACTTACAGGATATGGGCATTCTCCCACACTTAATGTCCCACTATTGATTTAAAAAAAACAAAATAGGAAAAAAAAAAGTTCTTACCAACAATTCCACTGGTTATCGTCCCCAGCGAACCCCACCTAGCAAGTCGACATCATGACATGTCAGGTCAGGGCAGCCTCAACCACGCTTCCCTGATAGTCAGGTGATAAAAGGAAGGAGTTAAAACAGGAAAAGTACACTTGCAGATTTCTGGATAACATCTGAAAACGACTAAAAACCAAACCAAAACAAAACAAAAAAACCAAAAGAATCTCCCCCCCCAAAAATCACAAAAACAAACCAGAGCTTCTGGTAACTTCTAAATAAAATATACATATGTATGTATTTAAAAAGGAAAAAAAAAAAAAAACTACTAGAAAGATTGACAGTAAGTACTTCAAATTAATTATTATCCTTATTTATATTAAATTACTGACCAATACATTAAATACGCAATTTATTTAAACAGTGTTTGTATTTCAAATAGAAAACCTAATTAACAAACTTCTAATGCAAAAGTAAACACGTCTGGTTAATGGAGTTCTCATTCTGGATTCTCCAATAGTCATCCAATTAATTCACTGCCTTATGCATAACAACTCCACTTCTAAGTTAACAGAAGCTCCCAACCTTAGAGAAACAAACACACTTATAAATCCAGTGCACTCTTTCTATAAGGCTTTTTCTTAGCTGTTCACTTAAGAGATTTCATATGATAAAGGACAATACTACCATTAACATTTCTTCCAAATACTTCAGGTTGGCTTCCTTTAAGAATACGGATAGCTTGATATAATAAAATTATTTTGAAAATCAAAAGGGCAAATTTTAACATATTCAGAAGTCTTTAAAATTGACGATAGCCTTATAGCAAGTATTTACTGGCTTTGATTTTACAAATAATACACAATAAAACATAGGTATGATTATCCAAATGGGCAGGAGGCAAATGATGTACTGAGTTTCAAGAATACTATTATATGGCTTTACGCAAGGCATGGAATTAATTTTATGTTCTTTCTCTTTTGGAATTTAAAATATGTAATTTATTTTGATGCATGCTGACCTTTTTAAAAAGAAAAAGGGTTCACCTTCTAAGTCAGATTTCAAAGTCAAATGAGAGAAAAGTCATCTACTACTAACAGAAAGCATTGGGCTTTCTTACGCAGAATAACCCCAGAAACTAAGAAACTAAAAACAATTATGCTGAACTCCTTTGTTTAAAAAAACTAACTACAAAACCATAATAACTCATCTTCCATCTTTCTTGATCAACAACCCTGGATTTATCAGAAATCTGGCAACTTATTAGAACTTTTTTGCTTTTAAAAAATTAAAAACACCTTCATATAATTACATACATTTAAGCAACTGCTATAAATGAGTGATCAAATAAAATTAGCATTCCATTATGGGAAGGGGGTATATTTATGTCAATCTCAGGGGGGTATCTACAAAGAACAGGTCTATCGCAATATAAAGCAAATACATTTTCTAACACACACTTTACTGTGGCAGGCTCATAAATAAAACCAAATCAACTAGGTTGGGGAACAAAAAGGATGTTAAGGCAGGACAGCGGAAAATCTAATTTCTCAGAACTTATAATTTGCATCTATTTTAAAAAACAAACTAATGTAAATCTAAAATTTAGAACTCCCTCAACTGACATTTCTCCGGCTTACATATTACATTGTTAGATTTCTGTGAAAAAGTTCAGCTCTGAATCTATTTATCTGAATGTGTCTACAATAATTTATAAGACATCAAAGAGTTCTACAGTAAGATTTAATGTTTGTAAAGTTATGTTTTTTGTTAACTAGAAGAGCCACAAAAACTATACAGCAATATTAAAGGGATACCTCTCCAGATATATTTTTAATTGTTGAGCAGGACAAAGGAGGAAGTGGCCATTTTAAAATTCAAGTGACTAAAATATAATTTTCAATGAAATGGTTTTGACATGGAATCCAAATTTTGTTCTTATGTTTTTGATAGGTTTACATTTTAGGATGGGTGGGGGGAAACACAATAAGAAAATATTTTTTCCAAATCATTTCTATTCCCATTCCTAATTTTTTCATGACGACTCTGTATCTTGTAACATCTAATTTTTAATACAAACAATTCAAATTTCATTCATAGACCTTTTGTTCTTTCCAAGAAAAATCAGGGTTTAAATCTAATTTAGATTTACAGTTATAGCTTCAAATTGTATTGTCAAAGTTGAAAAGCAGCATTTAATGCATGTTTGGTGTCTTTACTTGCATAAATGAACATTAAAAAAAAAACTAGATCTAAACCTTACTAAATACATACCCATGTTAATCAATGTGAAACTACTATACAACAGACCAAATAATTCCTTTATCAGTTTCCAAAAACTTAAGAGGAATGAATACTAATAAGGTCTGTTAAATTACTGTACTATGAAATGAGTGTATTTTGAAAGAGAATTGAGAAACACTGACTTTCATCAGCAATTATTAATTTACTTACTCAAAATCAAAAGAGAAGCCATGAAACCCAAAACAGGATCTAACCAAGCTCTCAAGGAGTTAAGTGGCTTATGGTTTAGATATTTAATATTGCTGTCACAAAAGACACCAAATAGGAACAAAACATGAAATAGAGGTGTGTCCATTTTAGTTATTCCCTAAAAGCTTATTTTTATCATTATAAAAACATTTTAGAACCACCTAAGAGTAAAATGGAAGGGAAATTTTGAGTAATTTGGAAGTGATCCACACTTTTCTGTAAAGTTTAGATTGTTCTGTTCCTCTCATTCATATCAAAAAAAGTCACTGGAATAAATCAGATTTCTAAAGGCTAAACAAGGAAGATGTTATGGCTTGGCCAACAAAAAATTTAGCCACTAGAGATAGTAAAAAAAATGAAAATAAAAGGGGTATCAACAAAAGTTAGAAGTATGACTACTAGATTTTTTTAAGCCTCTCTGATAAGGTGTAATTGTTTCTCAAAGCAAATTTGCATAGCAACAGGAAATTATATTCCTAAACCAGTAACTGAAAAGGTAGTCATGATCACATATACTATAACTGAACTTTAGCCCACAATACAATCAACTTTTCCCTGTTATATACATTCACTTATCCAGCAAATGAGGACTTCAACCATGATTATCCTTTATATAAAGAATGTGGGTCAAAATAAATTGCAGTCTGCTTCCCCAACCCGATTTTAACAACTGCAAATTATCCAATGCCTGCAAGAATGTTCAGAAGTCTTTGAATCAGTTTTTTTAAAATAAAGGATAAATTTTCAAAATTAGAAGCAACTATGATAGAACACCAATTAATGCAGTGACATTTGGAATAAATACTTGAATTTAGACTAATTCTCATCTGATGTCCACAATATATGTTAGAATAGACAAGAAATTTTGCATGAATTTGATCACTCACATAGGCAGTTATCCTTTGAAAACAATATTCTTTGCAAGGATTACGAATAAAATAATGTTTTAGGACACAATTGAATTTGAAATAGGTAATGTTTTGAATAGATTTTTGAGTTTTATTGAAATGTTACATGAACAAGAAATTGGAAATACAATCACATCAAAGAACAAATTGTCACGGCTTTGACGTTTAAGCCAAACAAATTTTGAAGGGCAGATTTCAAAAAGGTGTGAAGTTATAACAATTTAAAAACACAGTTAACCTACTTCTAGAAATGCAAAACATACAATCATAGGTTATTTTCAATACAAGAAAACTTAAATTTGTTTGCTTTAATTTCTTAAAACTACTAAGACAAAGCACTAGCTTGTATTTTTATTTACAGCATACTCCATACTCCTATGTAATCTACCCCAAATCCAAAAAAATGAAACTGTCCAAAACCAAAGGTTCTGCAAAATCATGATTTAACAGTGTGCCCAGCTTGTTTTGAAGCTAAAATGAAGCCTGAAACGATAAAAGCATTGTAGCCCCCAGAATAAGGGAACTCTGCAAGCCCAATAATGTCCAAGAGCATTTATGAAAAGAGGAAAAATAAAAATACTTGAGTATATACACAATAGTGATTCTTCAGCCCAATACAAATGGCAGCAAATTGCTACTTAAAGATGAAACAGTTAAGCCAATTTTTTTTTTTGAAGAATGTAGATCTAGAGCCAATCGTATCTTGCCAATATCATTTTCAAACCCTCACTTGTCTATTTCCACTGTTGCCCATAAGTATCCTGATAAAATTCCTGGTTGTCATTATTGTAACCATAGTTACCAGAATAGTCACCACCTTGCTGAAGCGGTTGCTGAGCGATGGGTTGGGAACCCCAGTTCTGTTGGTTGTTGGTCTGACGGCGCTTGGAATCAGGTTGGTTGTACCCATCTGCCTTTCTCTTGCCTCCTACATTGCCCCCACGATTGCCTCGAGCTCCACGGGAACCACGGCCTCTCTGCTGTTGTGCAGGACCCCCTCTGCCACCCCTAGAGCCTCTTGGTGGTCCCAAAGGTGCCCCCCTCTGTGAATAGCCAGCTCTACCTCTTGGAGGTGGTGCTCCCCGCCCCCTTGGTGGTGGTGGAGCACCTCGCCCTCCCCTTCCTCCTCCTCTTCCTCTTACTGCATAGCCATCATCATAGCCGTAGTAGGGATCTTCATAGCCTCCACGATAGTCGTGATAATCATAACCATAGTAATCATCATAGTAATCTTCATAGCCATAGTAATCTGGAGGGTAGCCATATCCACCTCTCCCCCCACCACGACCCCGACCTCTAATTGGAGGTGGCATGCGAGGAGGAGGGTGATAGTAATAATCTTCATACCTAGCAATGGAGGGAAGAAAAGAGAAAAAAAAAGATTAGTTTACTTCAAGGCTCTTCTTGATTTTGTTTTATTAGCCTGATCTCCAATATGAAGTAATTTCCTGTTCAAAGATGTATCTACTGAAATATAGACTCACGCAGTGCTTCTGGAGGCCTGTCTAGCAGCTTGGCGCTCTTTCCTTTTCTTGTCTGGTGGCTTGGCTAAGACTATTTCAATTTCTTCCCCTTCTATTTCTTTACCATTCATTTCATCCATGGCCTACAGAAAATTAGAAAAATAAATTTACTTCACAAGAAATGGTATTTTAAAATGTAACTTCATAAACATACGTTGTTAACATACATTTAATAAACACTTTACTTCGTAATTATTTTGATTTGCAAAAGACGAATTCAGCCAGAAAGTAAAACAAAAAGAATGTACCTGTTTCTCTAGAACTTCCATTAAGAACAAAACTGATGTTCTGTTACTACACTTTAAAAGGTAAGAGAGCTGCCTATTGCTGCTCCTAAATCCAAATAACTCCTTAAAGTTTAGCTATATCAAGAAGGAAGTCCACGCCTGGAATTTAATTTAATTTCAATTTAAACATCAAGAAGCAAAATTCCAAAATTTCTACCTTAACAGCTGCTCCTCTGTCTTCAAAATGAACAAATGCATAATCTTTCAACTTCTTCACTCTTTCAAGTTTTCCAAATTCAGAAAATGATTTCTCCAATATTTCTTCTGTAACAGTAGTAGCCAAGTTTCTCACAAATAAGACTTTTACCTAATAGTAATAAATACACAATATTGGTATTGGCTACTTAATTTTAGATGAAGTCTTATCTTAAAGTATTTTTTTTCTTATCTTCATGGCATAGGCTTTTCTGCTCTAAAACATTAAGTGCTAAAGTGCTGTCACAGACATTATGAGAAGCTGCCAAGAAAATGATCCTGATGTTAGTTACCCATTTTTACAAATTGTTGGTTCCTGCCTTCTCTTGCCCTGTCAGTCAATTACCTAACACTGTGAATAAGACCTTCAAGGAGTTAGCACATAATTTTCATTCAGTTAATTTATAAATTTAACATGACCGTCCAGCCCCCTAAAAAATAAGTTTTTGTTTTTGCCCCTGGAACTGGATAAGCCAATTCTAAAGTTCGTATGAAAAACTAAATAAGCAAGAATAGCCAGGAAGAAAAGTAAAAGTAAAAATTAGAGACTAGCCCTATAAACAAACTATAATGCTTAAATAAGTGAATCAGTGTTAATAAAAGAATTAGACAAACGAATAAAACAGAATAAAAAGTTCCAGAAATATACCCCAAATCGTAATAAAGGCATTTAGTTTCTGTTAAAAGTGATTCTCAAATTAGTGCCATAAAGATGAACATTTTAATAAATAACACTAGGAGAAGTGGGTAATCATCTGGAAAAAGATGAAAGTTGGATTTCTATCTCACATTATATATTAAAACCCAAACAGATTTTTTAAAAATTTAATGAAAAAAAGATGGAAAAATTACAAAAGTATTAGAAGAAAGTAAGGATGATTCCTTTATATAACCTTAGGGTACAAAAGGCTTTGTGACTGTAAATCCAGAAACCCTAAGAGTGATAAATTCAACTACTAAAAATACGTGACTTCTACATGGCAAAAAATGCCAGAAGCAAAGTCAAAAGACAAATGACAAATACAGAAAAAGTATTTGTGACTTAAATCACAAAGAACTAATCTTTTATACCTAGAGTTCCAGAAAACAAGAGAAAAGCTGATAACTGAATTTTAAAAAGTAGATAAAATTCATGAATACATGGTCCATACAAAAAGAAACATAAATGGCCCTTAAATATATTAAAAGCTCAAACTCATACATAAGAGCAGCAAATTATATTATTGGGATTATCAATTGTTATCAGATTGATAAAATACAAAAACTTCACCATACACTATTTTGTCAAGAATGGGGAAAATAGGCCTCTTGCATTTTGGTAGTGCAAGTACAAAATGGAATATCTCCTATAGATAGGAATATGGCAGTATCTTTAAATAATTACAAATGTATTTACTCTTTGGCCCACAATTCTACCTATGATAATCTATCCTAAAAATATATCTGCCCTTGCACCAGTTGACAGCACTGTAATAACAAGATTAGAAACAACTCAATGTCCAGATGGTTGAGTACTATGGTACATCCACAGAATGAAATATTATGGGGGGGGGGGAACCAAGGAAGATCTCTGAATTGACAGACTGCCAGGATATACTGTTGGTAAGACACACCTCCCTCCCCTGTTTGCACATCTCCAAAATAGCGATACAACTTACAGTCAATGGATAAGCAAGCACTGTGTCATAGTTTAATAAGCAGCATTTCTTTATTTCTTAGTGATACATATAGTAACGATGCATTTCCTTACAGCTAATTAAGACAGGATGGTCAATAAACCAAACACAAATCAGTGAATACATTATGCTACCAGCAACCATTTGTGTAAGTAGGAAAAATAAGAATATATACTTATATTTGTTTGTATTTGCCTAAGGAAACACTAAAAAGATAAACGGATGCTTACAGAGGACAAAGGAGGGGCCCTGGTGGCACAGCGGTTAAAGCGCCTGGCTGCTAAGCGAAAGGTTGGCAGTTCGAACCCACCAGCCACTCCGTGGGAGAAAGATGTGGCAGTCTGCTTCTGTGCAGCCTTGGAAATCCTACAGAACAGCTCTACTCTGTTCTACAGGGTCACTGTGAGTCAGAATTGACTTAACATCAGTGGGTTTGTTTGTTTTTGATAGGGGACAAGGGAGAACAGTAGATGGGGATGGGGTGAAAGTGGGACTATATCTATACTTTTCTATATCATTTTGACTTTTTGACCTAAGGAAATGTATTACCAATTCAATAAAAATTTTAACACACCCATTGAACACACTGTTATCTCAGATAACGGCTATATGAGTAAGAAGGATCTGGGGAAGAAATTAATTCAAGGGAAAGAAAGTTAACATTTTCACCTCTACCTACCTCCTACTCCTTTTTTCCCTCAATGTTGTCATACTAAGATCTAGTTCCTACATTAGAAAAACCCTCATTATTCACTTCATTTTTTTTTTTTTTTTTGGTAACTCCATGGATCTTTTCTTCTTTTCTGTGATGAAACCATAACATTCTATATAAAAATCACATGTTGAAATTGCATTTAAAATGTTCAAAAGGAAAAAGGTCCCTTTAAGAAAGATACACTTAGACTCTTAGGTTCTGGTTGATTATAAAATTGACCCAACTTGGCAAAGAATCTTCAATGAATTGAAATACTGACAGAGTGAGTGACAATGCTTTACTCTAATGGGTAAACTATTTTTTCTATCAGAATACAACAAAGGAGTAAATATTATTCAATCCCAAGTTTGTAGAGGCCTCCTTTTCATTCTGAAACTTGTTTTTGATCCAGAAGAAGAATGGTTACTGGAAGAAAATCTGGAGGTTTTCTAACCCTAAAAAAAAAAGATTTAGGATGAACTTCACAACTTCAGTCTGAAAGGTTAACAGAGGTATACTGAAAGTGATTGATAAGCAAATTACTAGTTAAACTTTAGGTTTTCTAGAAATTTTATATTTAGTTTCTCTCTTATAATGCTACTTTAAGATTTTTTATAGAAAAAGCAACACAGGTTATGCTCAGTTTCTACACGCAGAATTAAGTTGTAGGGATCTTAAGAGATTTTGCCAACTTCAATAAAACAGATGACATCCAAGTTCAGTAGTTTGCCCAAAATCACAACTACATTAGGAAAAGAAAGAACTAGAAGTAAACTGGGCTAGCAAAAATTTAAAAATCAGCATACTGAGATTCCCAGTACCTTACTTAGATACCCATCTACTCAAGGAATACTAGAAAAAGACACCAAGAATCACTTCTGAGAGACTCTCTAGTTTATTTTTACTGGATCTTCTCTGCTTAACCCAAAGATGTCTTTGCCTATCAAACCTTTACCATACTTGTATAAATTAAGGCTCTCCTCCAAACTAGTTAGGGTGAAAACTTGCCACCTCAGAACCTGAAAGAAAAAGCTTGAGGAAAAGACTTCTCAGTCAAGAAGTATCTAACCATTAATTCATGGCCATCCACAGAGTTGTTGCTTCCCTGGGAATGGCAGAGACATACAATAAGATACTCAAAAACTCACTAAAAGCAGCAGAGATACAATTCTGGACTGCCCCTTGAACTGCAGGAGTCACTAAAAATAAAAACACTAAAAAAAAAAAAGAAAACAGCTGCTGTCCAGTTAATTCCAACTCATAGCAGAGGCATTCAAGGGAAGGGCTAAGAACTAGGACTCAAGGCACCTCATTTACCAGGCAAATATTCTAGCAACGCCAGTCCAGGGCTCAGGATGCAAGTCCAGGGCTCAGAAGGAAATAGAGGTGCCCTCTACATGACTTGCCTTGCATTATTTTGCTACGAACAAAAAAATAAACATAGCAAACTTCTGCCTTTCTTCATGGCAAATACTCCCAATACTCTAAGGAACTCTATCATTTAAAAAAAAAAAAAAAAAAGCCAATAGAAAAATATTAGCTATAAATCTAAATAAAATATAATTATTTATGGTCATGAAATAAAAGTTACAGCATGATGTTCTATACATTTTACCAAGTAAAATTTAAAAAAAAAAAGAAGAGGAAATACCTGACAGGAATTCAGGAGGAGAAAGGAGGAAAAAAAAAAGTTATAGTATGGTCAATGAGGATTATAATTCAAAATTTCAAAAACATTACTTCTCTCTTCACTCAGCAAGACTTTGTCTTTTTTACCTCTGTATCTCTCAGTGTCTAAACAAATACTTGGTGTGTACTGAAATAGATACTTAATTGAACGGATTTCATTTCAGTTCCTTTTGCACATTTAATCTGTAGGAAAAGGAATGGTTAAAAGAAATTCCTGGATACCAAAGCAGACTGTGAACTTTAGTGTTAAAGCAGCTCCTTGCTTAAACAGTTAAGGTCAAGAACTATAAACTGTATTCACCTTAACTTGAAAATTTTGAGCTTTATTCTGAGTACAGAATTAAAATGATAACCCTACCCACACCCCCAAGCAATTTCATTTACCTTAGCCATGACTTCTGGATCTGGTTCTTCCACAGGGTCAGCCCATTCAACTGTAACTACATTTCCCCATACTTTTACTTTTCCACTCATTAGCCGGCGTCTAGCTTGTGCTGCTGACTTGTGATCCTCATATTCAAGGAAGCAGAACCCCCGATTCTTCTTTTTGTCATCGGGTTGATGATAGAGAATAACGTCCACCAAACCCTCTGTTAAACCAACAGCCAGATATATAAGCCAAAAGCATCCACCACACATCTAGAGATTAGGCAGACATAAACCCATTTGCGGAAGAATAAAAAATTGAAGAAGCCTCGAAGTGATTCACTAATTACCTAGTAGACAATTAGATTGGCATTGTTAAGATATGGGTTTGGGACAGTATTTTATGTCTCCTTGTAATTTTAGGGGTCCTGAAGGTACAGCCATACATATAAGAGAAGGTCTAACTACTGTATCCTGACATGTTAACATTCTACAAGGCTTTAGAATGATTGACAGAATTATAATATGACCTTATAATTTATGAAAACACTATCAAGGACTTTGAAGACCAAATTATCAATATGAATCCAAGAGAACAAACATTCAACAAAATCCTGGATTTTGGATCTACCTTAAAAGTTATTGTTTTTAGGTATGTTAACAGTAGTGGCATAGTTTGGCAAAAGAGGGAAAATGGGTGCACAACTTGGAATGTAATCAATGTCACTGAAGTGTATGTACAAATAGAAATTAAGGAAATATTGTTTGTGTTGCTGTGTGTAGATTACAAATAAAAAAAAATAAAGTTACTGTTTTTACCAAGAGTGAAACTGTTCGCTAAACACTGGTGTCTCTCTGATCTTAGTCCTGCGCCCTCTTCCATATATGTTCTTCCTAGGTAAGATCACCCAGCTCCTACTTTTAAATTCTATCTATAATCTTATAAATACTTAGACTTTATTCCTAGCCCAGACATTTCTGAGTTCCAGATGCGTCTAACTGCTTCCTTGACATGCCTCTTAGACATTTCAAATTTAACATGTCCAGAACTGCACCATCACTCCCAAAGTCTACCTTTCCTTGACTTTCATATCTAATAAATAATACTGTTCAACAAGAATTGAGGCATTATATTCTTTATTTCCTCCTTTAGTTCATTTCCCCTATCAAATTCCAAACCCATCTACTTCTTTCCATCCCACCATTACCACTGAAGTTCAATCTTCTATCTGATCTACTATGACAGCCTCAACTAATATATGAGCTTCCACTCTTGATAACCTCTCCAAGCCATTATCCACACAGTATTAGGAGTAATACTCTGCAAACATGCATCAGATGTTATTCCCTGCTTAAGACCTTCAATTACCTCCTCATTGTACCTAGAATAAAATCCAAATTCCTTACAAGGTCTACAAAAGGCCTGCTTACTTTTAGAAACTCATCTCATACAATTCTACCCCTAAATTCTACCTTTTAACAACACTGGCCTTCTTTCAGTTACTTTAATACACTAAGTTCTTTCTTGTCTCAGAGACTTGGCATATGTTGCTCTCTTGGAATGTACTTCTCTTTGCTCTTTGTATGGCTACATCATCCTTATTCTTCAGGTTTTGGATTAAATGTCACCACTCAGAAAAACCTCCCATGACCATCACATATAAAGCAGGGATAGTAGCTATTCTCTAGCTAAATATCCTATATTTCCCCCTTAGTGCTTACCATAATTTTTAAATTTAACTTTTTTTTTTTTTTTGGCTCTCTTCCCAAAACGTAGGACCTATATAAGGGCAGAGAACACATCTTCCTATTCACCATTGTATCCCAGCACAGCACAATGTCTAATTTAACAGGTACCTGAACAAACATTTCCTGAAGAAATGAATGGATATGACGCCAAAGGGAACTGGTGAGTAATAAAAAGTGATGAGGTTAAAGAATTGTGCCAGTTGGGATATGTGACTAACACAGTTATGATGGGTAGTAGCATATCTGGATGTGGGGGAGCTGAAGTAAAGAACCGGAGATGAAGTGGACATAAGAGCTAGAAGACAAAGGTATTGCATGGTTCATACACGCAGATATTAAAGGCACTAAGAATAAGTCAATTTGAGGCAGAAAAGAAAGACTGTGAGCTAGAAGAAATCTTCAATTAATGAGAAGGTGAAACCAGGAAAGCAAAAGATGTTATAAATGAACGTACGTAGAGCTGTGATATAAAATCCATTTCTCAATTAATTCCATGGGTTTGGAATGAAAAATCTGGTCTAGACAAGGTAACAGGAAGGAGGATAAGAATCCTCACCCCTCTTGGCTCTAAAACACACTGAATGTCAGGGGGGTGGAGGGAAAGACTTCGCTTGAGGGCTACAGAGTGTAACTCTAGCAAAAGCCAGGGTTCAATTAAGGCAAAGAAGTGAAGGGGTTATTCCAAGAAGTTGAGGATATGAGGGAACTTGCTTAGTCCAAACCACTAAAAAGCAGAAGGGAGAAAATTTAGACAATGGAGATTTGAATAAGATTAATATAACAAACACCCTTCCTTTTCTGCATTTAGAAAATAGTACAACAGATTCTCCAAAACTAATTTATAAATACAATTTTGTTTTACCTGTGACTTTACTGAATTCTTCCAGAATGTTTTCTTTAGTCTTATTCTTCGGAATTGATCCAACAAAAAGTCTGTTGTTTGCCACAGAAATGCACACTCCAAGGTGTTTCCCAGGGCGAATTTCATAGCTGTCACACTGCAAGGAAAAAAAAAACAAAGACACCCCACAACCACCCCAAACTCAGGACAACTGATCTTATTTTAAAAATTCAACAATTTAAGGCCCAGCACTCCCTGCTTCAAGAACTTGCCTAGTTCTCTCATGCTTGTTGTAATATAAATGTTTTATTTTTTAACTTCACTGTTACGGTCTCTCATTTTAGTTTGGTTTTGTTAATCTTCACTGCTTCTCCATATGTAAGTGACTCAAAGTTATTTGCTTTATTTATTTTTTTTAATATCTTATTTCATATTTCAATTTTACCTATCTTAAACTTTCTTTCCAGAGAATTTCAGAAAAAGTATACGAGACTGATCATTCAGGGTCCTTGGGGATAAAACTAGACACGGATAGGCAAAACAACAATATATAAAGAGCAACAACTACAGTTAATCAATGCAAAAGAAATTTAGAAGAATTGCACATTCCACACAAAAACAGAATTCTAAATATATACATATAAAGTTTTAAACTGCATATCAAACATAATACTTTTAAAGTTATATGAAATGATAATAAAAAATGTTTTATTTAAATAATTGTGGTGATGACTTCCATGACAAACTTTAGCTTTTTATGCTTTACCTACCATTAAAAGATACTCACTAAAAGATACGTGATTATTAAAAAAAAAAAAATATATATATATATATATATATATCATTCATACATTGCCAAAAAAGAGGAAATGAAGCTTTGAAAAATGTCTCAGAATTAAATAAACAAGTTGGAAGAAAAAGTCCATAATAAAAAAAGGAAAATCTGGGCCAAGCTAGGAATGGAACTAATTCAGAGACCACTAATGAAACTAGAAGCCTTGATGGAGAAGGTTATCCATTGTAGAAAGACTAGTACTAAACTAATAAGGCCCTGAGATGTCTGCCAAAAGAGGAAGCCTAAAAACAATCATATTGTTATTTTAAGTTACTGAACTAGTTGTATCTTAGTACAGTAGAAGTGAAGATACACTTAAATTTCCAGAAGTTTGTTACTACTACTACTCTGAAGTGAGTATAAAGGGCAAAAGACCCTACAGAAAGGAAGTTACTAGAAGATTAGCTATAAAATAATAGAAGAGGAAAGAAAGGTTAAAGACATAGAGGACCCAAGGGCCTGGAAAGAAAAAGACAAAAAAAACAAAGATACAAAAGAACACAACTACACTTAGAAAATAAATAAGTTGTATTATTAGGCTGAGGCAAAAATAAAACAAAAGCCCCCAAGCAAAAAAATAAATAAATAAAAAGCACAACCATTTCCTGACTTGTGTCTAAAAGCCGCTGTCACACACTATTATGTTTCCCAGAATTCATTCCAACTTCCATTAGACTTTAAGAATTCATATCCTTTTTGTATAAAACCAACACACAGAACTGCAAAAGCCAAATATTCAGTGAAATGTTTAGTACTAATCAATCTAATGGATAACTTATTAGAATTATGAAAGACTTTCCATATAATATATATTCTTGGGTATTTTCACTTTTATTATAAGCAGAAAAAAATAAATCAAAGATTACATACCAACTCAGTCAATATAAAAACATTAAAAGCAAAAACTAAAGAAAATGAAACATCATTAGCTTAAAACATTTTCGTATTGAGGTTTCTTCCTCAAGTATTCACGTACCAGTTTAACAGCTTCCTGTGCAGCTTCCTTTCCACAGAAGGTGATAAAAGCATACCCTCTGTTCTGACCAGACAGTGGATCCATCATAAGACGGAGATCCCAAATGGGACCAGCCTTCTCAAAAAGGGGCACCAACTCATCCTCATATAAATCTCTTGGTATCTTACCTACAAAAACCTGAAATAAAACTCTTCATTAGAAACCCAACATAAGTATTTGATTTTAGAGCCATAAATCATAACTTCTTTTTTTGTTGGGTGGTGGAGAGGAAGAGGGACAGAAAAAAAGAATAGAAAGATGGTTAAGTATGTCTGGACAATGGGGAAAATATGATTAGCTAGCTGAATCTTACAGCTGACTTAGGGAGCTAACCCTAATTTTTATTCTAACAACACTAGGGCCATCACCACAGAACGTTATTCTATACTGAAACTAAACAAGAGTGTGCAAATATTATACTAACAAGTCTAAATTTTGAATTGTTATAATGTGTCTTTTTCTCTTAAAAACAGAAGAGCATGTGTCTTCATGGAAATAGGATATCTGCCATTTTTACAAAAACAATAACTGAATGAAAGATTGACATGTCCTTCCCCAAGTTTTCTCCTCAACTCTAAAATCTTTACTACTTAATAGGCAACATCAATATTTTTCAGAATACTGCTTCAATCTATTCCTCTTTCAGGATATTAAATTTTAAGGTATTAAAAAAGTTCTTCACTGTTTGAAGACTCTGTGCTCTATCTTTAATTATAAGATTATATAATAAGTAAAATTAAAATATACAATAAAATATAATTAACCAATCAGAAAATCTCAGTAAATTTAATATCAGATTGTAATTTTTTCAAGCTTCCACAATGTCAGCAACATTAAAAGCAATCTTTTATGTTATTTTATGTTAAAACATTTGAAATCCACACAGAATCCATGTCAGGTAAATTTTCTGTTGGAACTCACTCACATAAACATTTCACATTCTGAAAAATAACCTTCATCTTAGGTAACTAATGAACAATAGCAATCCAAAAGATGCCAAAATTATCACTGGATATTAACTTTCTGAAGTTAAGCTCTACAAACAGCTGTGTGGTCTTCAGACTATGCTTTCCAAAATAATCAGATTCACTGTCACTGCCACCTGGTAAAATGTTAAGTCTTCTTTTGAATTCCTAGCATGATTTTCACACAACAATTAATCCTCATTCACTGGTTTCCTCATATTCTTTCCTCTCAGTCTTAAAAACTTCTCAATACGTGTATTGTTTAATAAGAAACTAATCTGCTCTGTAAACCTTCATCTAAAGCACAGTAAAAAAAACTTTCAGTATCTACCCTCACTTCTCCCATACCTCAGAGGAAAAGATTTATCTCCTTTTCCAAGAGTAAATCCATAACCCTAAGTCCATTTCGTCTCACTGCCTCCTGGAAATAATTACAAACCTTTATTCCTTCAACTCTCAAACTCTCCTCTTTTTGCTTCGTACCTTCTTTTCTTTCCGTTAGTTTCTTCCTCTGTCTTCAAACATGCCCAAACCTCCCATAAAAAAAACAAAATATGTACCAAAAAGCCTCCTTCACTTTAGCCTATATTACACATCTTTGTTTTCACTGTTACGTTTTGTGAACTCATGGTCCATATCTGTTCTATTTACTCAACAGCTATTCTTTTCAATGTATCTACTATATGCTTAGTACCTTACTTTGGATATGTCATCAGGAAAAACCAACTGCTATAAAAGAACACCACAATTGGTAAAGTAGAGGGTCAGCAAAAAATGTGGTAAACCCTCCATGACTGACATGTTGGCTGTAACAATGGGCTTAAACACACCAAAGATTGTGCGATGGTGCAGGGGCGATGTTTCATTCTGTTATGGTAGGCTCACCATGAGTCGGAGCAAACTCAAAGGCAACTAACAACATGGACACCACAGAGAAGTATAAACAAGACATCTAAGGCATCATCCCAACTAGGGATACAAGATACTGTGTATGTGATCTGAGTGATATCCCTGCAGAACCATCTACCTCATGAAAACTCATTCTGAAAAGCACTTGGCATCTATGCTCTCTTTAACTCCCTAAAATCGGCTTCTTTCTCTAACTCCATTAAATTGTGTGTACAGATGTCACTAATGGATTTCTAATAACCAAATTCAAAAGCCTTTCCCAGTTCTCATCCTCCCCTGCCATCTGTACAAGCATTAACACTGGTGCTGCTACCTTCTGGAAAATTCTCTTCCTTCAGTTTAACTCAGAACACTTCACTAATCTGGTCTTACCTTTAATTATTTCTTTTATATGCTCTGCATGGTGCTTCTTTAACCCACCTAATAATCTGGGAGTTTCCCAGAGTTATGGCTCTATCTCCTATTCTTCACTCTATTTTTAGAGCCTACAACTATACAGCCATCTCTCAGATCTACATCCCAAGATCTAATTCTATATTCCAACTGCTTATTAAACAATTCCTCTTGGTTGTCCTGATTTTACCTAAAATCCATGAGTCTTGTGGTTGCAATTTTTGTTTCTTGAATATGTATGTATGTATAGAAAAGGATGACTATTTTACCAAAATAATGCCAAGAGTGAGTATCAATGCATGGACAAATCACAGGTAATTCTATTTTTTTTTCTTTAGTTATATTTGCTAAATATTATATGATGAAAATATAATACTTCTGTAACAATGTTCTCTTTTTTCAAAAATCAAAATGACTAAAACCCATTCTTGTCAACTGGCTTCTGATTCTCCCCATTTCTCTTTGGAAGAACATAATTTCTGCTTTATCGCTTTCCGAGATAATGGAAGAAATAATACTACTATAAAGAGAAACAATCTCAGGTATTTTCCCTCTCCCTCCATAACTAATTAACCTTTTAAGTATCAACTTGAAGTTGCTCCACTGCATAATGCCTAGCATATACTGACAAATGCCTCCCTGCCTACTCATACGACTTGTCCAAACCTTTCAGGAAGACTATCACATATATTTTAGGCTTACGTGCCATGTACTTTTCTAGGTTCTAAAGATACACTACTTACCACAGACAAGATCTAGGCCTTCAGGTTTATATTCTACTAAAAGAGACAGACCCCCCCCCCCAAAAAAAAGATCAAGAAAATAAACAGAGTACAATTTTAGGTGTTAAATGCTAGAAAGAAAAATAAAAGCAGGGACAGGGAGTAGTAACAAGGAAGGGGTTTTAACTAGGAGGGCCTCCCTGAGGATGCTAAATTTGAACTGAGACCTAAGGAAGAGAAAATTAAGCAGAAATTGGAGCAAAAGAGCATTCCGAGCAGAGGGAACAAGTACAAAAGACCATGAGATGGGAATACGCTGGACATATCTGAGGAACAACAAATAGGCCAGTGACTGGAATGGAAGGTCCACAGAAGACAGTGGTGGAAAAGAGAGATAGGAACCAGCTTGTTAGGTTATGGATATAAGTTTGATTTTTACTCCAGATGTGGGAAGCCACTGGAGGGTTTTGAGCACACCAGTGACTAGGTGTCACTTATGTTCTAAAATCAACATCCTGGCAGCTGAGTGAAGAATGAATTGTATGGGAGAAATGGACTAACCAGTGAGGTTAACAAGGCAATCAAGGCAAGATATGATGGTGGCTTAGTGTAGGGTAACAGCAATAAAGGTAGGGGAAGGTAAGAAATAATGAGTTTCAGGTTGTGTTGGATTCAAATTTACTTTTTAGTTACCTTTAGCAAGTTTCTTAATCAGTGAGATTCAATTTCCTTATCTGGGAATAACAACAGCAAGAGGGTTCAGTTTCCACATGAGTAGAAAGCTCATGTCTTATTCCTCATTTTATTCCCAGCACTGAACACAGTGCCTGGGACATCACAGCTATTTATCTTTGAATGAATGTATGAATGAATGGATGAGCGTCTAACTCATACTGTTAATTTGTGCACTAGGCCCCATCCCTTCTCTCCTACTCAATGATACTTACTTCAGCAACAACTCTACTATATCACAAAGTTTCCCCTTTATACTAGGTTATTCCCATTAGCTGTATATACATGTTATAATTCCTCCCCGCAAATTTAAAATATACCTTTCCCCTACAACTTCTTCCAGCTACTGCTCCATTTCTCTACCCTTTAGCAAAATTACTCAAAAGAGATACATATACTTGCTGTTTCAAATTCCTCTATTCCCATTCCTTCTTGAATCTTCCAAATCTGGCCTTCATCACCATTCTGGTAAGTCACTAAAAATCTCCATGTTGTCACATCCAAGAGTCAATTCTCAGTCCTCCTCTTACTTGGAAAGTTTGATGTAATTAACCAACCCCTCTTTCTTGTGAAACTTTTCTTCACTTGACTTTAGGACACCACACTCCTGGTTTTTCTCCTACCTCATTGGCTCCTTCTTTTCAGTCTTCTTTGCTGGTTCTTTTTCATCTACCCAACCTCTAAATGATGAGGGCTGCAGGGCTCAGATCTCAGATCTTTATCTACATACAACTACACACATTCCCTTGGTGACTGTATCTAAACTCGTGGTTTTTAAACACCATCTAGATACTGATGCCTCCCACATCTATAATCTCCAGCCAGAACGCTCCCCCTGAACGCCAGCTCATATAAGCAACTGCTTACTCAATAGCTCCACTTGGACAACCAAGAGGTATCTAACTCCTAACATGTCCAGAACTGAACTACTGTTTTTCAGCCATAGTAACTTGCTCCTCCCCAGCCTCCTTCATTTCAGTAAATGGAAACTCCATCCTTCCAGCTGTTCAAGTAAAAAACCTTGAAGTCATCCTCAATCTTCTCTCTCCTACCCCATATTCAATCTGTCAACAAATCCTGTTAGATCTGCCTTCAAAATATCCAGAATCTGATCACCTCTCATTAGTATCAACTATACCATCCTGTACTGTCAACCCTAAAAGTGAGTGCTCATTAAAAGAGGACAGCAGTAAAAGAAAGCTACTGATAAGATGTACCAAGACAGGAAATACACGAGAATAATTGGTATTAACTCTGAAATGTATTTTTAGGTGCAGCTAATCTCTCTGGCCTAGTCTGATGATAGTATTTTTTAACTTGAATATGTTTAACTTGAATACTTGAATATTCAAGTATTTTAAACTGTTCTGGGAAGTTCCGTTTTATATCGTTTCTATTAACATAGTACAATAGTGAT